GTTTTTTTAATACTGGTAGTCAGATTTTGTCCATTTTTATAGTTTTTTTCCTTTCTGTTGAAATTGTCCACATGCTTGTGGATTTCAGTGGCTTCTCTGTGTAGTCTGACATGGTGGTTGTTAGAGTGGTCCAGCATTTCTGTGTTCTCAAATAATATGCTGTGTCCAGGTTGGTTCATCACGTGCTCTGCTATGGCTGACTTCTCTTGCAGAGGTGAGAGATCCCTCTGCAGAGGTCTACCGTATACCATGCAGCTGTGGACAAGTCTACATAGGGACCACCAAACACAGCATTGCCCCAACACAAATCAAGGAACATGAAAGGCACTGCAGACTAATTCAGAGAAGTCAGCCACAGCAGAGCACTTGATGAACCAACCTGGAACTGTTTTCCCAACTTAACCAAACATCTGATCTTTTTGGCCACGTGTCCCACATAATCTGTGAAAAGTTGAAGATTATGAATTACACTGCTGTCTGTTTTCAGTTTCTTCTTTAATTATGCTACAATGTCTTCTTCAGTGATGCTAATAGTTTCAGAACTAGGATATGTATGTAATTCGGTCATAGATTTTCATTTAAATTCAAGTTATATTTCAACATATATATTGGATCTGATTTTATTTATAGAATAACCCAAACTCATATATGGTCAGTAACATTTTCTGTTTTAATCAGTGGTTATATATGGAATGATAGAAGGAAAGAATGCCTCTCTGGGAGCATTTACCATGTAGAATGAATGCAGTTTGATATCACTTTAATTGCCATCACTCAATGTTACAGAATCATGGGTGTCTTAGCTTTACAAACCCTTCTTTGCCAAAGAGTGCTAGCATGTGTCACCAAACTACAAATCCCAAGATTCCATAGCATTGAGCCATGATGGTTAAAGTGGTACCAAAATGTTTTAATTCTACAGTATTAAATCACCCTCTTATTCCTATTGCACTCCTTTTAATCCAACCACAGTGTAGGGTGGGGGTCCTCAAACTTTTTAAACAGAGGGCCAGGTCACAGTCCCTCAAACTGTTGGAGGGCCGGATTATAATTTGAAAAAAGCATGAATATAATTTGAAAAAAGCATGAACTTTTAAAAGCAATATAAGAATTAAAAGGAAGAACAATTTTAACAAATATAAACTTATTAGTATTTAAATGGGATGTATGGGCCTTCCTTTGGCTGATGAGATAGGATTGTTGTGGTTGTGTGCTTTCAAGTTGTTTCAGACTTAGGTTGACCCTGAGCAAGGGCCGGGTAAATGACCTTGGAGGGCCGTATTTGGCCTTCGGGCCTTAGTTTGAGGACCCCTGGTGTAGGGCAAAGGTTTCACCTCATGTGAATAGCTTTAGATGGCCCCATACCTTGCCCTAAGTTTTTCAAAGGTGGCCAATTGCAACATTCACATTTGCCTCAAGCAGACAAGAGTTCTTTCTCCCACCCTGGACATTCCACAGATACGTAAACCCCACTTGCCTAGTTTCTAACAGACCTCACAACCTCTGATGATGCCTGCCCTAGACGTGGGCAAAATGTCAGGAGAGAATGCTTCTGGAACATGGCCATACAGCCCAGAAAACTCACAGCAACCCAGTGATTCGAGCCATGAAAGCCTTCACCAACACATTATTCTAATTGTTAAATAATAAGGAAAGGGGATGGATTGAGTGTTTAAAAGAATGATTGTGAAGTCTACCCATCCATTGCAGTTTTGACACGTTTGGTTCATGATTCATCCTGTCAGCTGCTTAAAAATTCATGGCAAATTCTGCATTAATGTCATCCAGAAATAGAATAAGAGAAAGAACAATGTAAGCTCTACAGTGAGCTGAGAGTGTATTGTTGCGGCTGAAGACATATCAAATGCAAGGAATGATTTACAGTTAGATATTTTTCATGCTCGTCGCACTTCCATACTGTTTGATCTCAAATAATAGCTTTAAATACTAGCCGTTAGAGATGAGTATAGCTTGGCACTCGTGAGCTGTTAGTCAATCCCGCATCTCCTGCTGTTCAAATAGGCTTCCCACAGGCTGTGCCTTTTGGTATGTAATGTAATTGAATCCTGAAACTAACAAACATTTTAATAAGGGATGGAACAAAAAGGCCTCTCCTTATTTTTTCTTTCTTTTATTTGGATTTTCGATTCAGTTTAAGTCTGCAGATTGGTAAGATTGTGTATCTATTAGGCATTAGGCAAACAATCTAGGAAGCCATTGATACCACTTCCAATTAGTAATGTTATTTGTTTTAGAATATAATGTTTTCTCCACTTTTGTTTTGTTGCTTGATCATCTGCGGTGCTGAATGTTGATCAAACTTGGCTTGCCATCTGCAGTGCCCAACATGGGGCCAAGAGACTGTATGTAGTCTCCCAGTGCCTTATCGGTGGGTCCCCAATGATGCCAGAGGACGCCATCCAATTTTCTGACATTATTGTTGCCAAACAGGATGCATGCCCTTGTTAAAGGGTTAAAAACAGTGGTTTTGCTGCCATTGCTCAATTTGTGTCAGCACAAAAGCTGTTGCTTTCTTTAAAATTCATATATCAGTCACAAGCAGATCACACATCTTGTTTTTCAGGTAAATTACACCATGTAACACGATTTTTGTTCCAGGGTTATAAATGTCATTTCCTAATTGTTTCTATCATAAAAAATAAAGGGTATAGGTTTCCCCTGATATTAAGTCTAGTTGTGTCTGACTCTGGGGGGTGGTGCTCATCTCCATTTCTAAGCTGAAGAGCTGGCATTGTCCATAGACACCTCCAAGATCAGCATGACTGCATGAAGCACCGCTATCTTCCCACATGTTTTTGAACTGCTAGGTTGGCAAAAGCTGGACCTAACAGCGGGAGCTCACCCTGCTCCCCGGATTCAAACCGCCAGTCTTTCGGTCAGCAAGTTCAGCAGCTCAGTGGTTTAACTTTGTTTTTGTGGGCCATCCTGCAGCACATTTTGCTATCGTTTTTCAATGACTGTCTCATTGAGTCTCAACCAATTGAACATAGTTTGTGGCAGCCAGACAAACAAAGTTTCTGTAGCATAACAACCACTTTCAGAATAAGTGCCACACAATTACAGGAAATAATACTTTCAAACCAGGAACAGATTTTTCCCCAAATTTTGTTACATAGTGTTATTCTTCCTGGAAGTTTGGATGGTCCAATAGCAAAGTGTGCAGTAACCAAATAACTTGTTTAAGTGCAAAAGAAATTTTGTCTTTATTCATTCTGCTGATGAACTAAGATTTGGTAGCAAAGTGATAAAGAGGCTACAGTATATGTTTCTGATCATTTCTACAGTTGAAGCTCTTGGTTCATATATTGCATATATTTTACACTCAAGGAAATGCATTAGAGTAAAGCAGTATATTCATATTCTTATCTCTTTAGCTGGCTGTGAAAATAAGACTAGAAGTTAAATTATCATTAATGATAATCAGGGGAACAGAACTCATTTTCATCAAGGGCCAGATGAGTCTTATGGTGCCTTCAAAGAGCCATTGAATCCATGAATGGGAAATCCATGGGTACTTAGGCCCCCTTCCACACTACCCCAATATCCCAGGATCTGATCTAAGATTATCTACTTATCCCAGATTATCTGGCAGTGGAGACTAATATAATCCAATTTAAATAACATAATCTGGGATCAGATCCTGGGATATAGGGCAGTGTAGAAGGGGCCAGAAGGACAAGGTTTTTTTTACATAGTGTTGCACTACAGCCCTGAAACACATTTTCACCACAAACTACACTCTATCCAGGTAATCCAGTAAGAAAAAATTATTAAAAGAAGAGTATATAAAAATAAGCAAATTTAAATTTATTTTATTTATTTATTTCGTACATTTGTACCCCATGCTTCTCACCCCCGAGGGGGAACTCAGGGCAGCTTTACAAGAGGCACTTGTTCAGTGCCATCCACATTCATAAAAATACATTTAAAACAATTCATTAAAACATTACATTAATAAGGCATTTGTTTAAAATCACACAGGTTTACAATCCAAGACTGGGTCAGTCCATTGTCATTCATATCACTTAAGTCTTATTCTCAGTTGCTGCCTCTATCATTCAAACACTTGGTCCCATAACCAGGTTTTGAGTTTCTTTCTAAAGGACAGGAGGGAGGTAGCCAATCTGATGTCACTGGGGAGAGAGTTCCACAAGAAAGAATCAAAGTTCACAAGGTTATTTCCATGAAAGCCAAGAGTACAAAAAACTGTCAAATACTGTCTCCAAAATCAGTCCTCAGAGATATCCAAAGGCACGATAGCATGAATCCAAAGCAGGCAAGCTTTGGGTATAAATTCAAACCCCACTATCCTGTTTAAACAGAACAAACTGCAGTCTTCCAGATGTTACTGTATCACAACTTCTATCAGCTCTAGTCATGGCATCTAATGATGAGAAATACATCATTAGAGGACCACATGAAATGATATGGCAGGCGAGAAATACCCACTGGCTATGTTCTGTGAGTCTGAATAAACCTTAAAATGCTTGTGTGTGTGTATTCAGTAATCTGATGTGTCTAAATGGCATTGTGATTTAAGAAAGTGGAAGAAGGTTGGATTTCCTATAGCCATGTAGAAAAATAAAAATAAAACATGTGGGAATGTTATTCAGTTTGCCATTTAGATATGTCACACCAGGATGAGGTCTAGACATTCACGAGTTTTGAAATAAAACACCATTGCATTTGAAAAGGGCAGCCATTAAATGGATTTGTGGCCTTTTTTTCAGGGAAGTGTTTGATCTGATATCTTGACAGATCTATTGCAATTTTCCTTTCTAACATGAATATTCTATCTAGTGTTTTAGTCCTATACTGTAGTATAATGGCTTGGCTCCATACCACATTTCTTCCAGCCTCTCTACCTTACAGTGTTTTGCTAATAATATAACTCTTTTCAGATGAAATGAAAATTATGGTTATATGTATGTGTGTGTGGTTTTTTTAACAATTCTTTTTCTTCACTTTCAATCTGACAGGTATAGAAGATGTGGTAGCAATAATGATCCCTGAACCAAAGGGGAAAGAGATTGTGAGTCTGCTGGAGCGCAATATTACTGTGATGATGCACATAACCATTGGAACCCGAAACCTGCAGAAGTACGTTAGTCGCACCTCTGTGGTGTTTGTCTCCATCTCTTTCATTGTGCTGATGATCATTTCACTGGCATGGCTGGTCTTCTACTATATTCAGAGGTTCAGATACGCAAATGCCAGAGACAGAAACCAGGTGAGTAGTTTTCCATGCCTTTTTAAAAAGGTTTATATCCTACTTGTTGCATCTTTGCAACGTGTATTGCAGCTTAAATCAAAATGTATTATTTTATTACCAAGTAGGAAATACAATAAGCCCTCTAGGTTGGCGTAATGAAAATCATGCATCGTTCACATTTTGTCAGTCCACACACTGTCTTGCCAGAGAAAGAAAATATGCCACACAGATGATCAGGAACAAGTAGTTTACTCTTTGTAACACAGAAAAACATATTTATAATCATGAGATAAGTTGCATTGACTCACACAATGTCCTTTTAGAGATATATAAATGGTCTTTCAGTGTCCATGTGGAATATCTCCTTCCGGCAGCTCATGAAGCAAGAATTCTCTCTCTCTCTCTGCAAGCACTTGCACAGATCAAGCCTAAAGATGAAACTGTTGCCAAAACTCCCAGGCTCAGTTAGCTCCCTGGGCATGGCCCAACCAATCAACTTCGTGCTTTGCATTTACAGTTAACACACTCACTAACTGATTCCTTACATTCCCTAACACTCTATATCCAACCAATTCAACCAACCACAGATTGGAAAAATTAGAAAAAAAACTTCCACAGCTTATTTGAATTTCTGTACATCTTATATAAAGATTGCCATTTTACCACACCATTGTATATATGGGACTTGAACTTCCACAGATTTGTTATCCACAGAAGGTGCTGGAACCAAATCTAATGGTTACCAAGAGCCCACTTGGAAGAAGTCAACTGGTGTATCCTAAGAAAAGATGAATTCTTATAATCTATCACAGTGAAGTGTTTCATGTCTTTTCACAACAAACAAACAGGAACAATTGTTGTTAATGTATGAAGAAATGCTGAATACACAAACTGTCATGTAAACAGTAACTGCAGTTACAATTTTTGTTTATATTAAGGCTATAAGCATCTAGACTACTAAGGTATTGTGGTCTATTTGACTGTAAGTTGATTATTTACTTACTAACTACATTTCTATACCACCCCTCTCAGCCCAGGGTAACTCGGAGCGGTTAACAATCGGCAACAATTTGATGCCAAACAATTACAACAATTAAAAAAAATCATAAAATACCATTAAAACACTAGCAGACAATATAAAAATATAAAAACCGTGCAAAGCCTTAAAAACATTATCATAAGCATCTCCATATCAAATCATTGTCCAGTTGCGTCGTCAGTGGTTCCATGATATCGTATATCATGGAACCACTGGGAAGGTCTGTTCAAAAAGCCAGGTTTTCACCATTCTTCGAAAAGTCAGGAGGGAGGGGGCCAATCTTATCTTTCTAGGCAGGGCGTTCTAGTCGAGGGGCCACCGCTGAGAAGGCCCTGACTCTTGTCCCCGCCAAACACATCTGCGAGAAAGGCGGGAGCGAGAGCAGGGCCTCCCCAGAAGATCTTAACATTCTAGATGGTTCATAAGGAGAGTTACGTTTGGATAGATCAGTTGGACCCAAATATGTGCAGCCAATTTTAAAACAAATGCAGAGGACCCAAACAGGCAGCAACAGCAGATGAATGACAGGTATCCAGACAGCAGTCGAGTTCCTAAAGCAACCTCTTCAGGTGTATGATGTGTAGACTGCAGCCTTGTTAAATATCTTACCCACATTTATTACTTTTGGCCAATGATTTTTCAAATGCAACTGCTGCCTCATAGCAGCTCACGTCTCTGATCATAGCAAGTGTCTGATCATAGTCATCTATTTCTCACCTTCAGAGGAGCTGTCAAGAGAATAAGAACAGTGTGTACCTTTTGACAGTTCCTGCGCGGTTTGTGTTAAGTGTCAGATGTGGCTAAGAATGTGTTCGTATTCATTCTTATTCCTAAGACAACCTCTCTTGTTTCAATGTAATATGAACATGTTCATCAGCAGCTGGTGACTCCCAGGTTAATAAGACTGGAAATCACCTCCAAGATTATATCTGAACTCTAAAGGAGGTATCTAAAGGACCAACAACCTAGTTCACAAATTGGTCCAGCACTTTGGATAGCTCCTGTAAAGTTAAGGGTAAAACTCAGAGGATATATATCATGGGTTCTACTGACATGATATTCAGCAGTTGCCACTGTATTGATACAGTACAAGAAGCAAAAGAGAAATGTCTAAAGGCAACACTGTGCACATCTGCATTGTAGAATTCATGCAATGTGACACCATTTTAAATGCAGTGATAGAATAGAATAACTTTGTTGCAATTGTACATTGTACAACAAAATTAAACATTTTCCCCAGCACACATCGCAAACAAAACACCCATGCCGCCACACTTCTACCCCACCGCACAGCCCCCAATTCCACATCAATGCAAAGCCTTGGAGTTCAATATAGTTACAGCTCTAGGATAAAGGTTGTCTCTCAGTCTGTTTGCCCTTGCCTTTGTCACTTTGTACCATCTTCCAAGTGAGAATGATGATGATGATGATGATGATGATGATGATGATAATAATATCAATAACAATAATAAGTGCCTGATTCTGGCAGCCCAAGAATAAGCCATTGGAACCAATGCCATCAAAGCCAGAATTGAAAAGTCGACGACATATCCCAAATGTAGACTCTGCAAGGAAGCAGATGAAACAATAGATCACATCCTCAGCTGCTGCAAGAAGATCGTGCTGACAGACTACAAGCAGAGGCATAACACTGTTGCTCAGATGATTCATTGGAACTTGTGCCACAAATACCATCTGCCTGCGACAAAGAACTATTGGGATCACAAGCCAGAAAAAGTTACAGAGAATGAACATGCCAAACTCCTCTGGGACTTCCAGATTCAGACAGACAGGGTTCTAGGGCACAACACTCCTGACCCCACAATTGTGTTAAAAAACAAAGTATGAATCATCGATGTTGCAATCCCAGGTGACAACAGGATTGCAGAGAAACAACAGGAGAAGCTGACACGATATGAGGATTTAAAGATCGAAATGCAAAGACTCTGACACAAGCCAGTAAAGGTGGTCCCAGTGGTGATCGGCACACTGGGTGCAGTGCCTAAAGACCTTGGCCTGCACTTAAACACAATCGGCGCTGACAAAATTACCATCTGCCAGCTGCAGAAGGCCACCTTACTGGGATCTGCACGCATTATTCGCCGATACATCACACAGTCCTAGACACTTGGGAAGTGTCCGACGTGTGATCCAATTCAACAGCCAGCAGAGTGTCTGCTCTGGACTCATCTTGTTGTGTAGTAGTATTAGTAGTAGTAGTAGTAATAATAATAATAATAATAATAATAATAATAATAATAATATGCTGGGTGACATGGATCCCCAAGAATGCTCTGAGCTTTCGTAAGGCTGTGGGATCTATTCCAAAGTGGGGGGAGGGCAACCAGTGATTCTCTGTGCAGAAGTGGTGACCCTTTGAAGTGCCTTCCTGTCTGCCACTGTGCAGTTACCAAACCACACACAGATGTAGTAGGTTAAGACACGCTCTATAGCACAGTGATAGGAAGTCACCAACAATTTTTCATTCAGTTGTTGGTTCCTTAGAAGTCTCAGGTAGTACAGTCTCTGCTGGGCCCTTTTAACCAACGCTGCCATATGGGTGCCTCAGGTCACAGGACACCCAGGAACTTAAAACTGGCCACCTGCTCCACTTTTGTGACAAAAGGCTGGATTTCTGATCTGTTCTTTCTGTAGTCCACTATGAGCTCCTTGGTCTTATTGATGTTAAGTGCAAGATTATTGTCCCTGCACCATGAGAGCAGCCGATCCATCTCATCCCAATAGGCAAACTCATCCCCAGTGCCTAATGCTCTGGAATCTTGGGAACTGTAATTTCCACAAGGCCTTTCATCTTATCTGCCAAAGAGTATTGGTGTCTCACTAAATTATAAATCCAAAATTCCCTAGCATTGAACCAGGATAATTAAAATGATGCCAAATGGTATTCATTCTATAATGTAGATGCATCCAAGGTAGCTTATGTCTAAAGCCAAATCCATCTGGTTTTACAGATGTGCTTATTTGGTTTCTTCCTTATTTTTCTAAAAATGTCATCTAATTGACACTTCAGTGTTTGAAAAACAGCCATGTGTTGGATCATTGCTAAATAACAAATATCTTTTCATAGCTTCTCTTGCATTTTCTTTTTCTGGCAGTGTTTTCTCTTAACCAATCTTTTTGTCTCTGTCTGCCTTGTAATTTTTCTTCTCATTCTCAGGTTGAGAAATTTGAACTAGAAATTCCAGATAGGCTCGTGTAAATAGAGCCAAATCCAACGTTAATAGCAATTAGCAAATGGCAGCAAGATAAAAAGAGATAAAGCAGCATTAGGTTTCTTCAAAGATAGAAAATCTTTTATACCATAAAAGAAAGCAATGAAAGCAGCATAGCATTTCCTTCACTAAAGAAAATCCTGACAGCACAAGTACTTATCAGAAATAAAAAAAATATACACAACTAGAAGTAATACAAATGAGAAATAAGATCAGAGCAGTTAAGGTGTCAGATATATGCCAGAATAAATTCAGATCAAATATTCAAAAATGTTTTAAAACATTCCCCATAATATTGTATTACATCAGAGTTTTAAAAGTAACATAGGCATGGTTACCTGCCGTCTGGTGGTGCAGCGGGTTAAGCCACTGAGCTACGGAACTTGCTGACCAAAAGTTCAGCAACTCAAATCTGTGGAGCAGGGTGCCCTCCCACTGTTAGCCCAGCTCCTGCCAACCTAGCAGTTCGAAAACACTCAAATGTGAGTAGATCAATAGGTACCACTTTTGCAGGAAGGTAATGGTGCTCCATACAGTCATGCTGGCCACATGACCTAGGAGGTGTCTATGGACAACACCAGCTTTTCAGCTTAGAAATGGAGATGAGCACTACCCCCCAGTCAGACATGACTAGATTTAATGTCAAGGGGAAACCTTTACCTTTTATAGGCACAGTTACCAATGTGATTGGCTTTCTTTGTAACTTCCTTTGAACAATGTTGAATGATAGCGTAGTTTCCACAAAC